CCCCAAAACCCCAAAACCCCAAAACCCCATTTCACTTGAATTCTAATGACAATGATAATAATAACTTAATAAATACACAGTGATCATTTAGATTTCTAGGGGATTCTGGAAAGTCTCTGCTAGTCCAAAGTTCTGGCTTTCTCATAGTTAGTCATGCTAAGAGCGATTTCACCATCTGAGATAGAAATAAGTCTAGCTAAAGTCAATAAGGCATGGAAGGTGTCAGCATTGGTTTTAACCTCACCAAAGTTCTATTGCTCGTTCTTTCTAGTTTCAATGAATATGTTTTAGGCATACTCTGACACATCTTCTGGGATGTGGTAGTCTTAAAGAGTCACATCAGCAAAAGAGTTTGTTACTAGGATATACCTGCGTAATTAATTCAACAAGTCTTCATCATTAATAATTTGGTTGAGCTTATTTTCGTCCAAATCTTTTCCTTCTTCAGGCTTTATTACCACTTATAGAGTGTTCTTGAACATTGATCTTCCTTCTGAAAGCACAATAACTCCCGCATTAATTGGCATGTCGATCTATGAATACATAAAATCGTATTAAACCACTTGCTGCTCTATCAAAGTTGCTAGTGCCTTGATATTCATCACACCATTTTCTTTGACTTTGCCCTCTTTCATCAGAGTCTCATCGATTACCACAAAAGTGTTATCAACCATTTGCAATAGACCTGGCTCTAGTGAATTAGTGTCATAATTCTTCTTTGGAGACAATCTCTTCTCCTCCAAATTTTCTAATGATAAAGGCAGGTACATAGAGTGTGGAAGAATTTTTTCAAGGAGCCTGTTCAGGTATTTTGACCTCAATGATGAAATTCCACAGAGGTTTGTTGAAATATTGCCTAGGATGAAGCCGTCCTTTCTAGTGTGAGCTTTTGAGATGATATTGAGCAATGTGAACTCAGACGCTACCTGGTCACCTTCAAGGATCATTTTTAAAATTGCCTTCAATTTCTCTCTAGCTTCTTTCAAATCTTAACTGTAATTATTCAATGTCATGTTATTCACCTAAGATCTCTTGAGCAACTGATTATTGTTCAAGATCAAGTCCTTTCTAAAAGTAATGACGTGCAAATGAGGAATATTCTGCTCATTAGGAATTCCAGTTCTTGCCATTGGATCATAGTCATCATCTCCCCCACTTACATTTTTCATTTCCTCATCCTCTGACTATCTCTTATTGAATTCCAGAATACCAATCACTGTCAAATTATCATTGAGCTTGAATGATCTCACATTCTCATCATAGACCTTAATCAAACAAGTCTTGGCCCTTTTCTCTGGCTCCTAAGCCAGCCACTGATTCATATTTGGCACTGAAATGCCTAACAAATTTCCTCTCTCTTGAGCAAACTATTAGTCAATTGATTATGTTTCATAGTTGATTATCTGATCTTAAGTTAGCTCAGTGTAATACTTGTAAAACAGTGGTAACCCTGGCTGACTATTTGATGAGTGCTGAGTTGATTTGGAGAGAGTTTCACTATTCTGAGATGATTGAGTTGGCAGAAGAACACTCATAAAGTACTCTTCTTCGTACATATCCTATATCATACAGTCATATCTAACTAATTTTCCTGATAAAGAGTGCAAATCCTCTACTGTTTCACAAGCATTCAAACTTGGCAAAGCCTAATTATGTAAAAATAGAGTAAAATACTGATAGGTTTGGCTCTTAATCATTAAAGATCTCTAATGTTCTCTCTACTAATTGCGGGATGTTGACATCATTCATATTTATCTAAATTTCAGCTGTCATCATAGATTATCTTACTGCATTAAAATTCTAAAGACTCTATAGATACTATCTAAAGTGCTCTTGGATTGCTTCTAGAGGTCTGTCTAGCAATGCGTGACGATCTAGAGTGGCTTTACTCATTCTCAGTTCTAATCAATGAATTTATAGTTTATATAAATTTAGTATTTCCCTGAATTATTTCTCTACTGAAAATTCAGCGGGGTTTTGGGGTTTTGGGGTTTTGGGG